ACAGCGTACGTTATTTATATAATTCACAAAATTCCACCACATTTAATACACTTACAGTACTATCAAAAAAAATCAGCCCGTGCATTTGCACGGGCAAAGACTAGTATTAAAAAAAGACTTATTTTGCCATTGTAGTTCCATTCAAAGTAAAATTCTAAGTTCCTGTTTGGTTTAGCTAGAAATAAGATTTTTAATAAATTTTAATAAAAGTCGATGAATTTGTATTTGAAAATTTGATAAAACTTGTGAATCTTATGAAATGTGTAGTTGAAAATGAATTTGAGGGAAAAAAATGAGTTTAAAAAAGTAAGGAAAAAAAAAAAAGAATAATTCAATATGGCTGGCTTAGGAGTTGAATTTTCTAATTCCTTTTTATCCATATCAGGTTCATGGGGGCAATTGTGCATGTTGTTAAGAATTTCTTCTTGAACTTAGGCTTCGTTATTTGTTGCAAGGGTTTGTGGTACCTTTGAGAATTCCCCAATTGTTTGATGTGGTGAAATTTCCCGACCTTTCTACGAGTGACTTCGAATTTTGGTTTCATATTTCTCTATATTTCTTTAATTGTCTTCGTATTTTTACCTTATTTTTGCATATTTAGACGAGTTGTAATTTTTACTTAGTTTATTGTCCCCTTTCCTCTCCAAAATTGGAATCATGTCCCAACTGACAGAGTCAACAAGTAATTGGTAATATCCCCATAATCCCATTTTGCCAAATTATGAATTTATCATTCTTCATTATAATTCGCTCCACTCTCGAGACATTCACATTATCCCAACCCATGCAAGCCAAATTGGATTTTGTTTTAGTTGTGGTAGCTTCGTCAATTTTTAAAGAGGAAATTTCATAGTTACAATAGTTCGAGAATACAATTTCAAAGCCAACAAACTTAAAAAAAATTAAAAATTAGGTACTTTGATAAATGTTTTGACTTATGAGTTATAATTGAATAGGTCACATTCACTTGCCACACAATTTACACGACACAATCACATACGAAGTTGCAAATCACGCAAAATTACCATTGCAATTTATGGTCTCAATCACATATTAAGTCACAAATCACACAATTAACTATTCACAAACACTTCTGGATAGATTCTTCTCACCGTACCCCATCATTTCTGTCACACCACCTCCTGATCTATAGCCACCGAACCTTCACGCACTGTTGCGCCCATCGCACCCACTCCATCCCTTCTGTTACGACACCCCTAGATCTATAATCTCGAACCACCGTGCCACTGCAGTGCCTTCGCCATCATCACTCCTCTAGTTATATCTCTCTTCAGTACTCTTCCCTCATCTCTACTTCCAAGAACAAGAACGATGATGATGACATCACAACCTCCTCCCGTATCACCACTTGCACCACTACTCCCTTTGGATTGTTGGGATTTACGGCCACTGCTATTTTGATAGCTGAGGAATTTTCCTACTCTCCTCCTTGGCTCTGTCTTTTCCGTTTCTCCTGCTCTCCTCATTGGCTCCTCCGTCTTCTCCTGGCAACAGAACCAAGGCCACCAGCAGGGGCAGCAACTGCTACTGCAGCACCACCACCACTAGCGCCAACGTTCGTGACAAGGTACTCAATGTCCTGTTGTCGGTGGAGCGTAGCAAAAAGGATTGGCCAGTACGATTCGAGCTGAATTGACGAAGACCTATATATGTATGTTGTCTGTCACAATGAGGAGGAGGTAATGGTGGTGGTGCGCGACCTTGAATCTTAATGCCGACGTCGAAATTTGGGATGAACTGTGCATAGTTCGCTGCATTCAAACAGGTATGGAATTGAACCTGATTTAAATCGTTTCTTGATGATATGTGACCATGAGACTGCTCGCCGTGATGAGTATTGGGGCCTGTAATGGAGTATGGTCGTAGGTGTTGGAGGGTTGGCCGGAATTGGTGTTGAAATCGTGCGTGAAGGCTTGATTTTGAGCCCGAATTTCGACTGATTTTGGAGATGTTATGTCCGGTTTTTGGTATGAAATTGAAGAGTGGGATGATGACATGTTGACGATATGGAAATCCGGTGGTTTGTCCGACGGAATACTGGATGAATTTGGAGTAGAAGGTGTCGGTGTAGTGGATGAATTTGATTGCAATTCCCAAATGCCAAGAAAACAAAAACTCTGCTGAATCATGGGAAAACCAATTCCAGTATTTTGAGGAAAAGAGGGTCACGTGCTGGTAAAATGGAAAATGTTTTGCGTGGAAAATATATCCTATCAAACAACCAAAAAGAAGAAAATGGTGGGAAGTTTTCCATCTTGCCTGGAATTTATGGCCTATCAAATAGGGCCTAAGTCGACTAAGATCCAACTTATTTTCCATGTATTACTGATCGGGGAGGCGGCTTAATTTACTACATTTTGAATTCGTTGGCTAAGTTTCAACAACAAGAAAGAGTTGAAGGACGAAAATTGAAAATAAAAAAATTGTGTCCATAGTTTCCAGAGGAACCTAAAAATAGAAAAAGGAAAGGTTTAAGACAAGAATGCAAAAGGAATTTTTACATTTTTAGACGGAAGAAAAGAGAAGAAAAATGACAGAGATCTCAACTGAGAGATCGTTGCGTTTCTCGGTGTTATTCTGTTCAATATTTTTGCAATTTATTTCAGGTAATTTTCTGGATCTCTCGCTTATTTTTATTATTTTTTAAACGAGAATTATGCTCATTGTTGCATTTTGTTTGTACAAGAATAATTTCGTGTCTCCAATCTGTGTGTTTAGTTTTCTTTTAAAAAGTGAATCTACTTTAATTTCGTATTTCCGTTTAAAATTGTTTGAGTTTGTTGATTCCAATTTGATCCATCGGGTTCTCTTGTTATTTCGAATTTCAGGTTTTAGAAGAAGGAATTTAGAATTAAATTTTATTTTCTGGTTTAGATTGGAAATTTATCAATTGTCATTACCTGCAAACATAAAGAAATCAGTGTTGGGATAATTAAAGGAAAAAAAAAAGAGTATTTGAAAAACCTGATTTTTTTATTTGATACTTCTAGAAAATCTGAAAAGAATACATATATAGGAGAACTGAAAATTTAAGAATGGAAAATATCCTGCTTAAACTTCTGATATGATTATTTACAATTCTAATAAAAAAAAATTTGAAGTTGTGCATTGTTATTCTTTTTCCTTGTTTATTGAGTTTTTAACTGCAATTCACGAAATCAGAGAAACTGAAATGCAATAGTTATAAATTTTTGTATACTGTCCATGGATTTACTTTAGCAATGTGTACTGGTAGCTCAATAAATGAAGTTTTTGTAATTAATAATAATCACATGATTGAAGATTTTGGGCTTTGCTCAAAGATGAAGCAAGCAGACGTGATTAACAAATTTGAGCATTGGAGTATCGTGATTTTCAACATTTTTTTTCTTCTGTTGTTCACGGGTTTTAAGATTTTTGATCTATAAAGCACTCACTTTTGGCAGTAATTTCTCCTTTCCTACATATCCTCAAGATCCAAACTAGGGAATAGGGATTTCTTCTCTGGTTTTCCTGTTTTTTCAGTGAGATATATGATTTGAGTTTGGTTGTACTCCATCAGTGGCTGAAAGGTGTATCTTCCTTAGTTCTAGCTTCGTATACGGTGTGGATAAGGTGCTAGTGCTTGGAAGAATTCATCAACTATTGTTGAGTCATTAATACAGTTTGGAAGGTCATCTTACAAATTGGTTTAATTAGTTGAAGTTTTCATCACACAACAAATCTTATTTGGTGCTTTGATCACGCTGAACGTATAAATGTCCAATCTCTCTCTTGGCCTTTTTGGTGGTGGGGTAGTCAGGCTTTGCTCTAAATAAACACTTAATCTTGAATGAAAGCTTAAAATGGCATTTGTTCTGTGTGTTTAATTATATCAGCAAGCTTTTGTCTCATTCACTCCCACTTAGACATGTTCTTTCCATTCAGGCTATTCGGATGATTCATCAAGTCCCATAAATAGGACAAAAACCAAATCCCATTCACCTTCTCATTCTGGAGGCAGCACAGGATCCAGGGTAGCTATTATATGTTTGGTGCTTGTTGCTGTTGTGCTTTTATCATTTTTCCTTTTCAAGTTTTGGCAAAAGAAAAAGCGTGAAGAGCAGTATGCTCGTTTGCTGAAGTTGTTTGAAGAGGATGATGAGCTTGAGCTTGAGCTTGGTCTTCGGGATTGAGCTTGCTTCCTATCTGTACATCAATCTCATTAAGGTGGGATTCCTTTCTACATATCTGTGGTTCTGATTCTAGTTTAAAAGTTTCGGTACTGTGATTTATATGTGTAGTTAGACATGGAACTTTGAGGCGAACTACCCTTCTCGTATATGCTGTCAATATATTTTTTGTTTGCATCACTTGATTGTACATTTTTAACTGATGATATCTAATTTATCATTGGTGCGATAAATTGTTTCTCAAGTAGTCTTGCAAATAAATGATGCATGTATGTGTGTGGAATTGATTGTATACATTGTATTATCCCTCAAAAACAGCATTTATTTGGTGGAGTATCGAGCACCTAGTCTAGTGTTATACACTAGATTGTAATTTTTTGTTACGACGACTTTTTCTTTCTGGATACTTCTGATAATGTTCCTAGCATAGCTTGTTTTCATCTTATTTTTGAATTCCGAGATCATATGCACATTGCTGCTAATGTGCCCTATAGAGATTCTTGTTATCAAAAACTGCCTTCAAAAACTTTGAAATGGATGTTGGAAGCTTACGATGCACTTCTCTTTGGCTTCTTTGAGGTCACTAGAACTTGTTATTAGTATGTTTTGAATCGATCAAATGATGCACAATGAATACTGGACCCTTAGAATCTCTCGTCTTCTACTTCTTTTCTAGGTTACTTGTACATCTTATTAGTTGGTTTTGAAGCAAGCAAATGATGTATAGACAACAGAAGGAAGAATGTTAACTTTATGATAGCAAGGTCTAGGACAATGGCAACAATAACGAGTCATTACTACACTACATATTAGGAGAGAAATAGTCGATAGAAGGTTCGTTCTTACTCATACACCGTAGCTAGCTACATATTTTTTTCCCCCATAAACTAAATTATGTAAAATAGACTATACATTTGCTGCCTTTTCGACAAGCATATGCTGTATGTATTCTGGAACATTTGGGTGTCCCACTCGGGGATTCGCTGCAACATGGCTACTGGGATTATAGATGTAGATCTTGAAACAATTTCATCTTTGCTTTAATGCTTTTTCATCTGATTTCTTGTCAATCTTGTTATGCATGATAAAGTTATTTTGTTTTGTGGCATGCACAACTTTTGAAAGTTTTTCGCAACCTATCTTTCAACTGCAGCTGATTCGGGTTGGCGGAAGTCCAAAATTTTCAATTCTTGGTTGTAGCTTGTGTAACAATATTGATTGAACCAGAAAAATTGAAGCATTCTTTTTGAAGAATTCTTTGTGAAGGTTTGCTATAGACTAGAGGATTATCAAATGTTCAAAGTTTCAATTCGGATTTTGTGAGAGTGCATACTTGTATTATCAAAACAAATTTTCATGTTTATATTTTGTTCAGCTTATTTAGTATTATGAGAGAATGGCAGAAAGCTTGCTACGCCTAACTATTTGTTTTCATGATTTGAGAAATTGAAGCCCATTTAGACATATCGAATAGGGATAACTGCACCGTCTACTTGTTAACTTCTCAAATTCCGAACTCACTTTTTCTTCCTTTTTTTTTTTTTTAAAACAGGCCACCACCCACCACGCATCACCGCCACCCACCACGCATCACCACCATTGCTATTTTCGATCACCAATGTCCACCACCACCCCTGCTGCCATCTTCATTTTTCCCTAGCATCCCACCCCACCTCACCTCTACCCCATCTTCACGTAGTGGTTAACTACCTTTTTCTATAATAAAATCGAATATTACTGGATGCAATATAATAAATGTGCCATTAATTCTCCAATTCCGTTGAGTAAAAGTCACACACTCGAATTCTGGAAATA